AACGTAAGTCGACCTCAATAAAGCCTAATTTAACTTTATCTTCTTGATAATTTTCCACAGCCACGATAGTCGATTACAATAAACCTTTATATTGTAAGGTCTCCATAATGGAGCTGTGATTTGCTGAACCTACACTATCTTGACTAGTCAACTGATTTTCTAGCATCCTAACAAACTGTCGACTGTCACTCTCAGTAAGTGTACTGTAGATACAACCGAGTGACTTTTCACAAACTGTTTAGCATTCTCTACCAGTGTGTATCTAACATTTAAGAAACTACTTTTATGACAATTCATCAATGGATGCACATTGTAGTGACAAGTGAAAAGCCAGTCAAACAGTCCCATACGACTTCTGAATTACCTTGAGCAGAATTCAATGCCTTTAGACTTGTTTGAATGTCGGAGCTGAATTGCTGTTGTACTGTTTGGATCTCTACCTTCCGATAAATAGGTTTCATAGTGCAATTGATCCTTGATAACTGGCGAAACCGTTTCCCAGTCCTCTCGTTTCGTATTATAATATGAAAGTGTTTATTAAAGCTGTATTTTGAGATGATTCGGTTTACTGGCTTCTCAAAAAGTGATCCGCAATCTAATTTTATAGTCTTGATTGATTAGCTTCCTACATGGTACTTATAGGAGGTGTATCAAGTAGTAGTCTATGTACTGGTGATCAAGTTCTTCCCTGTATGTATAAATGCAAAGGTGTTATGTTCTTGTAAGCGTCTAATGATTGTTTTAGAGCGGTTCTCATAGCTACTTTAACAACATCTAAACTGTTGCATCTTGTTCCACCAAACTCGTCGTATTCATCCATTTATCCCATAGCACTTCAGCCTAAGTCAAGCCTTGACCTTCTTAAGTACGTTGTTCCAAAGATCTTGATTAACTGCTATTTTTTCCATGCACGAGTTTTTAGGAAGTTTTTGATATCCTCATCAACTTCGTTCTCCGATGTCTTTTTTGGTTTCCAACAGATCTTTTTCCTTGCATTCTTGCGTTTAGTAATTTTTTGGAAATTCTTATGTCCTGTCAACCGTAATCGCTGCCGCCTAGTATATTACCAGTATCCTTCGTAATATTTTTCTTTTGAGCTCGTCTAATGCATTTTCAGATTTCTGTGTTATGACCAATATTTCATACCGATAACTTACTATGTACCTGATTGTTGTTTTATAGACTCAAAGTTTTGTTTTCCGGTGATAATCTCGCGGTATGAATATGTGCCCTATGGAGACATGCTTTATAGGCCACTATAAGCCTTCTATTTATTTCAAGTTTGTCTTCATTATTTGTGATCAGGTCTATTCCTCTTCTTACAATACGTATATACCAAAAGGTTTTAACCCAATTTTTCCACATAATTCATCTACACCTGCCAAGAGTGATTATAGCCTTCTATTTGATTTTTTGAATATAAGGATTCCATATAAGTTTCTGATCAAATATTACTCGTTAAGAACTTGGCCTTACCTACAATGAGATATCCAAACTGTTGAATTACTAATGGCTCCGTGATCAACCAATACATTCATTTCCTAAATTATTAACACAAAACTTCACCTTAATACGCTACTTTTTATTTAAACTAATTTTGGAAAACTCAAAATTTCTGTCATCTTCAAACAACTGTGATATATACAGCTGCCATTCTTTTCTTATTTCGTGCTCATTTACAATAATTTTGTTATTATTGTCAACGAGCAGAGAGGAAACTCGGTTTTTTAAATATGTTACTCATTTCTTTTAGTTTTTTGTTTACATTAACTAAGTCGTGTTTAGATATTACATCCTCCATTTTGTCGCACCTTTCTCTCAACCATTTTTCTTTGGCTAATTTGATCGCCTTTTTTGTTCTTCTCTGCAAGTGTCTATATTCTGTTTCATTAGATTTTATCAGTCGACGTTGTTCCATTAATATTAAGATGTCGTCTGTCATCCATTTACTTTTCTTGATTGAGTTTTTTCTATAACCATTGTGGAGATTTCTTTAACTTGGCTTTTAAATTCACTCCATAGTTCTTCTGGATCTTCTAGTTCTTCATCGATGTTTTTTATTCTATTGTTAAATTCTTTTTTATGTTTATATCGTCAAAGTTAAGTACGGGTGTTCATAAGCGATTTCTTCGGCTAATATCGAAACAATTAAGTTATAATGTAGGAAAAAAAATTCTTAGTAAAAGTGGACGAGAAATTGTGGAAATAACTTTCAAGATTTGGATTCAACCGCTAGGGGGCGTACTGCGAAGAAAATTTTGAAACCAGTTTTGGGACCTATGTCCTATTATAAGCGTTAACTAACGTAAACTAGAAAAAGGCATAAATTCTGCACAAAGTTGGTTCAAGTACTTTTTTTTTATATTTTAAATAAAGGGTGGGGAGAGTGGGAAGTATTAGTGGATAAATCCTATAATTTGGTTTGATCCAATGATTTTTAATGATAATTAGTGTCTTAGAAAGTGTGATGAATTAATTCAATCTATTATAAAATACTTGCATGAGTTTTCATAGTCGTGGTAGAGGGGATTTCCAAATAAAAAAAATTAATTAGTTTTTCCTCAAAATTTTTAATGGAAACACTATTTATTGTAAATTATAATGGAAAAGGAAATTAAATTGTACAAAATGGAAGACAACGCATTTGTTAATAGTTTTTGAGAACGAGATATGAATAAAAATCATAAATATAACGTAAGTTATAGTATTGACACACCTGTATTATAAATTACATAAAAAATAAGTCAGTAGGTATTTTCAAAATTGTTTTTATAGCAGAAGATATCTTAATGTTGATACATTTTTTGTAAAAAATAGTTTTTTCGAAAATACGTAGGTACGAGCATGAATTTGCCGGGGAGTTCATATTGTTTATTTTTTGACGCAGTCGAAAAACAATGTTAAGAAGTGCTATATTAATTCGAATTAAAGATTACACTTTTTTCAACTAGTATTAATATTGGTAATTATTAGTATTAATATATAGTACAAATAATTCGTGATGAGTATATCAAATTGTATGATATGATTGGGAGTTTATTTTAAATGTCACCAAATGCCGCTATCTGCATCACGTATATATTTTATATGGATATGTGTCAGGAGGACATTTATGGCAAAGAAAGTATTTGAAAGAACTGCAAAAAGATAAGAAGTAACACTGGTAGTTTTCCCGTACCTTGTTTAAGAGTTGTAGAGGTTATGCCTTGAATCTAATTCATCAAATGTATGCTTTAATACAACAGATCCATTGGAGTTAGTCCGAAATCTCTATCTTTGCCACCAATATCATCGGCAGATATCTTAAGATATTACGTGAGGCAATGCGCCATTTGGTGATATTCGAAATATAAAATCCATCATATACTATTGATATTCCTATCACGAATTATTAGTACTGATAATTAATTATAATATACAATATTAATATCATTGAAAAAATGGCATTTTTATTCGAATTACTAATACATATAACACTTTTAAAATATTATGTCTGCTGTCAATACTTAAACATATGAAATCCTGTCTCAAAATTATTGTGGTAGCCTACTTAGTTTCGAAAAAAAATTTTTCTAACTTATGAAATTACACTGGTCAATAGGTCTCAACGTTAAGCGTTATTCTATCTTAAAAAATTTTGAAAGTATACTGATTTATTTTTTAATTTATTTTATTATACAGGGAGTTTCTGTCAATACTAAACTTACTTATGTTATATGCGTTTTTTGTTATGTATCTCGAGTTCGATCAGATTAAAGCTTTAAATGCGGTTTGCGCCATTTTGATACGATTTAATCGTTCCATTATAATTCTACAACTAAATGTGTTTCCATTAAAAATTTTGAAAAAAAAACAATTTGTAATTTTTCTATCGAAGTACCTTACGAACGACATTAAACTCAATGCAATTATTTTATAGTAGATGTTAAATTAATTATCCATACTCTCTTTCTAATGACATAATTTTGTTAGAAATCGATTGATCAAAACAAAGTTTCAGGTATTTATCACAAATATTTCTCACTTCCCACCCTTTATTTGAAAATAAAAAAAAAGTACTTGAACAATTTTGTGCAGCATTTATGCCCTTTTAGTTTACTATTTAAATGGTATAATTGACCATATTCCCAAAAAAACTGGTTTTCAAAATCTTTCTTCGCAGGTTACGCCCTAGCGGTTACATCAGAATCTTGAAAGTTATTTCAGGATTTTTTGGCACTTTTATAGGAATTTTTTTTCCTAACGTTATACCTTAAATAGTTTCTGCTATATAGCCGAGAGATCGCCTTATTGGACCACGGTACATTGGTTTTTGTTTTTTGTCGCTGAATTCGTTTCAACCTTAGTTTAAGTCTAGCTACAAGTGGTTGATGATCAGATCCAATATCTGCTATTGCCAATGCATATTTTAAGTTAATCGAATTTTCCTTATAGAGGTTTTATATTCCTCAATTAAATTCTACAAGGAAACTAAATTCGTATAGAATGCGACAAAACTTGCGCTTTTTGTAAAGCATCACAAACAGCCAATCCTGTACAGCCCTGCAATCATTGGTTTCTAATTTTTTAAATCTTGGAAAATTTTAGTATTTCAATCTTTGCCCCCGACATAGAACAAAATAAACATGAAGTATTCAAATATTTTATTTCCCTTAAGATTTAAGATGTACTTAAAGAATGAATATGTATTTGTATTGCATATAAAACTGTTGAAATTAATAATGTTCAATGTTAGTCTAAATTCAAGAAATTATTACTTAAATCTCAAATGAAGTTTGATTGTAAACGTTCTGCATAGAGGAATATTAAATATACAAAGAGACTTTACTTACAGTAACTGTACCATTATTTGCTTGCAATTTATATAAAAAATGCTCAATATCACATTGTTGAAGTATATTTGTTAATGACAACCATCAATATATCGGTTAACAATAAGACTGGGCATGATTCCTTAGTATTTGGCAGATGTAGTCAAGGTCTCTGTCGTGTTGTTTTAGCCGTACAAGTCGGGCGTCGAAGATCTAGCTGTTTATCAGTCGAAGGTAAATCCTAAAAACGTGTGCAATGGCCTATAAAACTTTTAAGTAGGGCCATAACTGTTTTTCTTCCCATGTAAGTGTAGCTAACAAGTTCGAACGCAACTTTCTTTTAACAATAATTGATAATGATTTATTTACTAACACCGTGGTTTGTAGTATGATCAGATACAATGCATTTCTTGGAAACAAAAAGATTTGACCAACATTTAAAATAATAAACGCTAAGAAAAGGCTGTGAAATCTTTCTTGCATATTTCACACATCTTACCTTGTAGAATTCTACCAGAGCAGCTGTGTAGAGTCTAGATAAAGAGGTCAGTTGGCATCATAGACCTTTTCTCACCATATATACACAAAATCTTTTGTTTATAACCAACATCTATTTTTGTGACTTTTGCATAGGTTTTTGCTCCTGATGTTTAGCCTCTTTTGGTCGAGGTTTTGCTTCAGCATGTACCTTTTTTTGGTTCTTACTGAGTTTTCCGTGGTTTTGCTAACTATTTTTCGGAAATTCCCCTTTATATTCGGACGTTTGGCCTATAACGGGAACCTGTCCCAACAGTTTTTCCATAGTATCGGATGATAAGATACAGTACATTGAAGCACATGGACTTGAAGTCAAAAACGAGTCCTAGAAAAATTCGCAGAAGATTCAGAACTAGTTGTCACCAACACATTCTTCCAATTACCGCCTCGCAAGCTGCACACGTGGAAATCCCCTTAAGACAGACCCGGGAGAATTATTAGGAATCCAATAGACTACATTTTAGTAAATAAAAGATTCCGAAACAGCTTTACATCTGTCAAGACTTATCCTGGAGCAGACTTGGAGATAGGTCACGTTCCACTGGTGGGAGTATTTCGAGTCAAACTCAAAACAGTGAGAAAAGGAAAGCACAATCATACGACCTACGTATGCTGAATACCTTGATACGAGGATGAGAGTCCAAGCCGTTAAAGAGCAAGTGGCTGTGAGGCAAGTGAGTACAAACTCCAAATCTTTCGAAATATGCAGTGGCCTGAAACAAGGAGATACGCTGTCACCACTCCTTTTTAATATCATCCTGGAGAAAGTAATAAGAACAGCACAACTTAAATCAGAATTACTGACAGTAAATGGACCAAAATTACTACTAGCATACGCAGATGACATTGACATTGTGGGAAACACAGTCACCAATGTGAAGGAAACTTTTAATAAATTGGAGGTAGAGGCAAAGAAAACTGGTTTAGGGGTAAATGAAGAGAAAACCAAATACATGTGCATCACTAGACAAAAGGTACGAGATAGAATAGGGCAAAATGTTACAATAGACCCATATAATTTCGAAAGAGTGAAGAGTTTTAAATACCTCGGAGCAACAATCACTGCAGATAACGATATCGCGGACGAGATTAAAGGAACAATTCAGGCAGCAAACAGATGTATGTACAGCCTACACAATAATATTAAATCTAAAAGCCTAACACGAACATCAAAGATTAAAATATATAAAACGGTGATTAGACCGGTGCTCATGTTTGGGTATGAGACGTGGACACTGACCAAAGAAACTGAAAGAAAACTTTTTATGAGGAAAATCCTCAGAAGAATCTTTGGGCCTTATCACGACATTAATAGCAACCAATACCGAATAAGAATAAATGCTGAGGTCAAGCATTTGCCAAGTTAATATGGAAGAAAACCCCCACAGGAAGAAGGCCCTTTGGACGTCCACGAATGCGATGGAGAGACAATATATGGTCAGATCTAAGAACAATCGGGCTACCCACTGACCCAACTATTATGGACGACCGTTCAAGATGGAAGCAAGTTGTGCAGTCAGCCAAGACCCACCCCGAGTTGTAGTGCTACGAGAAGAAGAAGAAGAAGAAACTTAAATATACCTCCGGAATTAGAAAATTGAAAAATGCTCATGTACTTATAAACGCACAAGGAAAAATTTGTGATCACGAACACAGTGGAAAGAATGAAGAGATACATCAGTAACGTTTTTGTCGTTGCTTCTTGAGAAAATGCTACACATTCACAAACTACCTTTATTTTTCATTGTTAGGTGGGGAACTATTGCTAAACATTTCCGACAGTGCTGGGTTCCTAAAACTAAAAACCTCGTCGACCACTCTTAATCCTGAGTCGGACCTCCCTTTACTCCATAACTCCTATGTGGCTTGGACCAGGTAAACGTTAACTCTCTCACTCAAATACTGCCTATGACAACCAGTTAGATAGAGGTCTCAGTATTCTGAAATCAGAAGTAAGAAAAGCAATACAGCAAGTCAAATGTAATAAAGCACTTAGATTAAATAGACTAGATTAAATCTCTGCTGAGCTAGAAAATTTACAATGAAGGAAAATTCCCGATGATTGAAAAAGAGTTCAGTTCCTGCGGTCATCACAAGGGCAGGAAAAAAAATTATCAAAGAATAGCAGGCCCACCAAATGCAGCGATGTAAGACGTAATCAGATTGATGAGCCACACACTTCAGATACTTTTACGAACTATAAAAAACCGATTTCTTCTGAGCGAAAGTAGAATGGGTAATAAGCAATTTGGATTTAGAAATTTTCCAAATTGACAGTACGCAAGGCGACCAAATTGACAAATGCGGAGTACGACAGGATTGTGTTTTGTCACCCAGTCTTTTTAATCTATACTCTGTATAAATCATTAGGGAGGCTTTGGATGACAGACAAGGGTGAGTAAGACTAGGTGGAGAAGTAATTAACAATATCAGATGCACTGATGATACAGCCACTCGTGTAGAAAATTTACAAGATGGCTGGAGATCTTGTAAATCTATTCAGTGAAGCAAGACATCGGAAGGGCCTTAAAATTAACATTTCAAATGCAAAATGGATGGCAGTTGAAATGATTAATATAGATCAAGGACTGGTTTCTATAATGGACCGGAGATAGAAGGTGTAAACGATTTAAATAACTTGGCAGCTGGTTAAATGGAAATTGTGACTCTGATGAAGAGATAATAACTAGGATCGAAGTCTCACGTAAGGGTTTTATGTCCTGGAACATAATGTATGTATGTGTAATCTATCCTATTATATGTTTGTGAGACATGAACATTAAAAACCACAATGCTAAGCAATTTAGAAGCATTCGAGTTGTGGTGCTATCGATGAATCGTGAAAATATCATGGATTTCGCACACTTTCAGTAAATATTTTTTATAGTGGTGAATTCAGAATGTCTGTTCATCATAAACAGGAGAAAAACAGAATACATTGGGCATATAATTAGAGGACCTAAATACCATCTACTTCGCCTTATAATACAAGGAAAAATGGAGGGAAAGAGATAGATTGGTCGAAAGAAACCTTCATGGCTGCGTATATGGTGATTCCACACCATTGAAGAATTATTTCGCGTAGCAGCTGATATAGAAAGGCTTCAAGAAATTGTAAAGATGGTAAAGGCCAACGTCGGAATAAGGATATGGCACATAAAGAAGTTCGTACACAAAAACTCAACTTCGAATGAAGATTATTGGTTAACACATGATGGAATCATCATTGCACTCCACAGTTTTAAGCGATCTATGGAATCATATGCTTGTTTGAAATCTATGAAGATCTGGTGTACTTCTTTATTATATTCCCAATACTTTTCTAGCATTTATTTACTATCAGACAAATGCTAGAAAGAGTATTGGGAATATAATAAAGAAGTACACCAGATCTTCATAGATTTCAAACAAGCATATGATTCTATAGATCGCTTAAAACTGTGGAGTGCAATGATGGAGTTAGGCGTACCAAAGAAGCTGACCATGATTGCGCGAATGTGTGTCAACAATTCCTTTGCACAAATTAGAATAGGGGGCAAAACTTCAAAGGCTTTCGGCATAAGCACCGGGCTCAGACAGGGAGACCCGCTGTCCCCATTACTATTTAACCTAGCATTGGAATACGCAATGCAAAAAATCTATACCAGAGTCAAACCAGACATAACTGCCAGAGGAGCAAAGATTATTCTCGCATTTTCAGATGATGTAGATGCAGTAGCACAGACAACACTGGAAGTTAAGGATATAGTATCGAACTTTGAAGAAGCAACACTAAGCGTAGGCCTGAAAATAAACGAAGAAAAAACTAAATACATGGTCGTATCAAAAAAGGAACGACAGCGAATAAGACAAAACATTACCATAAACGATCATAATTTTGAGGTGGTCAAAGAATTCAAATACCTAGGAGCAACAATTACCAGTGAAAACACAGGAGAACGGGAGGTTGAAATACGAATACTGGCGGGGAATAAATCATTCTTTGCCATTCAACATCTAATGAGGTCAAAGCTTCTCTCTAGGCGTGCCAAAATCCAAATGTACAAAAACATAATACGACCAGCAGTGACATATGGAAGTGAAACATGGACCTTGAGAAAGAAAGAAATCAATAAGCTATTAGTATGGGAACGCAAAATCCTGCGAATTATATATGGTTCTTGCAGGGGCAGCGTGACAAATGAATGGAGGAGCAGATACAACAATGAAATAGAGACTCTCTTCGGGAAAGGAAACATCGTAAGATACATAAAAGCCAATAGATTAAGATGGGAGGCCACGTGGTACGGAGTGATGACGACAGACTGATTAGCAATGTGTTTTGGGAAAGACCAGATGGTAGAAGATCGACAGGAAGGCCTAGAAAAAGGTGGAAAGACGCAGTCAGGGAAGACCTGGAGAAGATGGAAGTAAGGCCATGGGAAATAATAGCACAGGATCGGAATCAATGGAAGGCAATAGTAAACGCGGCAAAAACTCACGAAGAGTTGTAAAAGCCAATGATGATGATGATGACATAATGGAATGATTATATTAAAATTTTTATCGATCATAAATTCCTCAAAGTGGTCGAAGAAAGAGGTACCCTTGGAGCTATCAACCGTAGAGTAATTATAATTTGATTGGGCATAAATGATAGAAAGAAAGTGATGGGAGATAGGGAAAAGCAGAGATATATGTCATGCGTCATTCGTGTG